GGAAGAAGGTTATAATACAGACTTTAAGAAGAAATGATAACTACCATTTTCAAATTAAAATTACCAAATTCTCAATACATATAATGTCAGTTAATAATAATCTTTCTCGATTATTATTCGATCGCGGAAGGAATTGTAGTGGTGTTGTTTTATATGTTAGATGTTGGTAAAGTTGGTGTCTTAGAGAAGGATCTTATTAAAATGATTGACGCTGAAATGAATGAGTTTTAATATTTGCAGAGCTGTAGGACCAATTATGTCATATAGTAGAGTTGAATATTGAGAGTCACCTGCTGGACTGAGATTGTTATACCTACTGTCTTACTGGCAGTATTATATATTATTATTATTATTATTATTATTATTATTATTATTATTATTATTATTATTATTATTATTATTATATTGTATTGTATTAAAAACAAGCTTTAAACCCTTATGGGCCACACATCGCTTTAAAGAAGTAATGATAGTAAAGAATCCAGTTATTTTAGTTATAATTTGCCATAGATATAACTAGTGCCATTACCTTGCTAGACTTAGTATGTATTTCAACTAGTATTATTTTTACTCTTTTGTCAGCACTATTATTTATTAAAAAATATAATTATATCAGTAACAGTAGTAATAGCTTTAGCAACTACACAATAGATACAAACATACAGACTCCAGGTAAACATTTGATAAAGTTCCTTAAAATAATCATAGACTGAGACAGGTAACACACTAGGCTATAATATTTTGTTGTATACCCCAGAGTTTAGCGCTTGCTTTTAAAAATAAAAATAACTCGAATTCAAATTAGGCGTGGTTGAGGCTAATAACATCAAACTACTTAGGCCTGTCCCATTTGGCTCACCAAAGCCAATTACAGAAATGTTTTCATAATTTATTTTTCCGCGAGAGAGCTACTCGAATATCCGGGGAAATTGAGTATTTGTCAAAGTTCTACTAACATCATTATAATAAAGCTGAGGCAATAATCCTGGGGTAACACCTGGGGACCGGAGAGGAGATAGTTCCAGTTCTTTGGATCAAGAGCCCTTCTCTGACAGTAACTCTACTTACAACACACCAATTTGGGTATCCAAGCTTGAGGTAAACTCGTCTAAGTCACAAATAATGCTATAGATGTCAACAATCAAGACATAAACATGTCTTGATTCATAAGGTGTCGAAGGAATCTCGGAAAGATAATAGTTCAGTAAATATTAAAATAAAATGTAAATATGTGACTGTCAGTAACTTAAGTTACTGATGAGAGGGCAGAGGAGAGGGATCCCCCTGATCAGTAGCTTAAGTTACTGATGAGAGGGCAGAGGAGAGGGATCCCCCTGATCAGTAGCTTAAGTTACTGATGAGAGGGCAGAGGAGAGGGATCCCCTGATCAGTAGCTTAAGTTACTGATGAGAGGGCAGAGGAGAGGGATCCCCCTGATCAGTAGCTTAAGTTACTGATGAGAGGGCAGAGGAGAGGGATCCCCTGATCAGTAGCTTAAGTTACTGATGAGAGGGCAGAGGAGAGGGATCCCCTGATCAGTAGCTTAAGTTACTGATGAGAGGGCAGAGGAGAGGGATCCCCTGATCAGTAGCTTAAGTTACTGATGAGAGGGCAGAGGAGAGGGATCCCTGATCAGTAGCTTAAGTTACTGATGAGAGGGCAGGGGAGAGGGATCCCTGACAGTAGCTTAAGTTACTGATGAGAGGGCAGGGGAGAGGGATCCCCTGATCAGTAGCTTAAGTTACTGATGAGAGGGCAGAGGAGAGGATCCCCTGATCAGTAGCTTAAGTTACTGATGAGAGGGCAGGAGAGGGATTCCCCTGATCAGTAGCTTAACTTACTGATGAGAGGCCAGAGGGAGGGATCCCCTGATCAGTAGCTAAGTTACTGATGGAGGGCAGAGGAGAGGGATCCCCTGATCAGTAGCTTAAGTTACTGATGAGAGGGCAGGGAGAGGGATCCCCTGATCAGTAGCTTAACTTACTGATGAGAGGGCAGAGGAGAGGGATCCCCTGATCAGTAGCTTAAGTTACTGAATGAGAGGGCAGAGGAGAGGGATCCCTGATCAGTAGCTAAGTTACTGATGAGAGGGCAGAGGAGAGGATCCTGATCAGTAGCTTAGTTACTGATGAGAGGGCAGGGGAGAGGGATCTCCCTGATCAGTAGTTAAGTTACTGATGAGGGGCAGGAGAGGGATCCCCTGATCAGTAGCTTAAGTTACTGATGAGAGGGCAGGGAGAGGGATCCCCTGATCAGTAGCTTAAGCTACTGATGAGAGGCAGAGGAGAGGGATCCCCTGATCAGTAGCTTAAGTTACTGATGAGAGGGCAGGGAGAGGGATCCCCTGATCAGTAGCTTAAGCTACTGATGAGAGGGCAGAGGAGAGGGATCCCCTGATCAGTAGCTTAAGTTACTGATGAGAGGGCAGGGGAGAGGGATCCCCTGATCAGTAGCTTAAGTTACTGATGAGAGGGCAGGGGAGAGGGATCCCCTGATCAGT